AGGTGGGGAACATCCCCCCAAGCTCATTTCCAATGCCCCTCGCCCCCACACACAATTTCAATAACACCCCATGGTCTCTCAATCACAATTACCGCCAGACACGGCCCAGACACCCACAAAACACACACACACACACACACACACACACACACACACACACACACACACACCCACCTCGTAGCACAAGACGCCGTCCAGGCTGGTCTCTGACGGGAGGGAGCACGGGTAGCAGTTGATGTTGTCAGGCGTGTACTTGCCGTCCAAGCACGCATCACAGCTTGAGCGGTTCGTGTTTGGAATTGCGCCGGGGTCGCAAGGTTCCGGCACTGAGTCCCCGCCCTCGCAGTAGCTGGCGGGCGGACACACGGAGATGCCCTCACCGACACCTGTGAGGGAGCGCACATGTGGAATGCAGTGTGCAATTTCGTGCGTGTGTGACGTGTGACGTGGTAAAACGGTGAGCATATGATATGGATGGTGAATACGGGTTTGAACAGCTCCCACAACAACAACAACAACAACAACAACAACAACAACAACAACAACAACAACAACAACAACAACAACAACAACAACAACAACAACAACAACAGCAGCAGTAGCAGCAGCAATACTATTACACACACGCGCACACACACATCAATCCCGCTGCCATGTTGTGTAACTCACGGTAGTAGCCTGCTGGGACTGGAAGGCAAGCGGTTGCGTTGTACAGGGAGTACTCATCACCGGGGCAGGGCATGCACGAATCAGTCATTGGCGTGGGCGCGTATGTGTTTGGGGTGCACTCGTAGCACGAGGCCTGGTCCGTGGTGGGCGCCGAACCCGCAGGGCATGGCGCAAAGATGCCGCCTGTTGACACGGGATATGATGTGAAGCAGGAGGAGGAGGAGGAGGAGGAGGAGAGATTGAGATGAGTGAAACAGGATGCGGCATGTGTGTGTATGTATGCATGTGTGTGCATACTTCGCACGCTACGCACGACTTGTGTGCACAGTTTCCTTGCAATCATTCCAGTGCACCAAGGAGAATTCGGGGGATGTGTGTGTGTGTGTGTGTGTGTGTGCCAATGCCGGTCACTCACCGTCGCACGCCATCCCTGGCGGGCAGGAGAGGGTGGCCGTTGCGCCCATGAGCACAAAGTCTACGATGCCGTCGCTGTCCACGTCCTCTCCGCGCGTTCCTGAGTGCCAGAGATGCAAGCAGGGACGCGTGAGGAAGCAGAGGAACAGCAATGCAACACAGGGGAACGCACACGACAAGCCTGCAATATTGGCATCAGCATGCGCGCACACACACACACACACACACACACAGGCACACACACACTCACACACAGACACAAACACACACACGTATGCACACATCGAGACACGAAACGCTGCGGTATTGATATGTACAGGCTGACGCGCACCATAAAAGCCCGGCGGTACAGTCTGGCACAGAGTGTTGCCGTCGCCAGATGCATAGGTGCCCTGAGTACACGGCGGGCACATGGATTCCCCAATAATTGCGGAGGCCGTGCCTGCAAGCAACGTCGCGAGAGTGATGATGGTGCACATGGGATTGAGTTTGCGAGCGCGCATTACAACTTGACACGAGGTGCAGCCGAGCGAATGCATCGTGTTGACTTTGGCGGTGCACACGGAGGTTTGCTTGATGCAAGTGCAATGTGTTACCTGCGGGGCAGAGGGAGCAGAACCCATCGCCCTCTTTCGCAAACTCTCCAGCACTGAATTTGCGCACGTGAACAGACGGGAAGAAGTGAACGACATGAGTGAAAAAGAGGGAAGGGCATTATTGGACCGTGAGTTTCGCAGCACCTCTTCCCCAATGGGAACAGCTTCAGCAGCGCACCAGCAAACAACGACAACACGCAACAAAACGCGAGCTTGCCCTGCACACAGAAATGCAAACGACGCAGACATATGCAGCACACACACAGAGAGAAATGCAGAGTACGCAGACATTTGCAGCACACACACACAGACATGCAGACACACAGACACATGCAACACACACACACACACACACACACACACACTCACTCACACACACAGGCACATGCTTACGCACTCGCAAATGGACGCGGTGCTGGCAGTCGGGCATGCGAAACCAGCAGGGCAGGGGATGGTGTTGACGGCGCCAGTGACCACCACTGTTCCCGTTGCATCCACAGCTGTGGCACACGCAGATACAGCAAGCAGCAGTAGGAAGAACAAGACCAAGGGGAAAAGGAGTGAGGAAAGAAGCTGTCTCACAGTGTGCACGTGCGTTAGCGGGGTACGTTCACGATGCCTGTGACGTGCACGCTCTGCTCTTCTGCACGGGATCGAGTCGTTGGACTTACTCTGGGTGCCGAAGGGGGCCTTGAAGCAGAAGAGGCTGTTTGGGTTTGGATTGTAGTAGCCTGGTGAAGGCGGGTGTCGTGGATGCGTACGTGGTGAGGAAGGAAAACATATGGACGAGAGACACCACATGCACGCACACACGTGCAAAGGGAAAGATCCACACAAGTGTGGACGCAAGGATAGATACACACACGAACAAATCGTATGCACGTTTACACACACACACACACACACACACACACACACACACACACACACACACACACACACACACACACACAGACAGGCGGATCCTCACCCTCTGGGCAGCTTTCACAGATGTCGTTCATGACGTCGAAGTACTGTCCCGCTTGGCATTGGCGCTGTCCGCACGTGGAGCCGATAAACGGCATCATGCAGCTGCACACGTTGTTGGAGCAGGATCCTCGCCCATTGCAGCTGTGCTGGGGACACGCGGTGAACTCGCACGCAAACCCCGTGTTTCCTGGCTGGCACTCGCAGTACCTGGTGATGGCAAACAGGTGTTTTTTTTTTGTGTGTGTGTGTGTGAACACCGTACAATGCACAGGGAGCCATGATCTTTTCACACGCACACACACAGACACAGACACAGACACAGACACAGACACAGACACAGACACAGACACAGACACACACACAGACACACACACACACAGAGCCCCCCTCTCTCTCGCACACACACAGACACAGACACAAACACAGACACAGACACAGAACCTCACACACACGCGGCACCTGAAGTCGCCGTGGTCGATGCAAGTGCCTGCAGCGTTACAATCACCGGTTGTGCCGCAAAGGTCCTGTTGGGCCATGGCGGAGTCGAATCGCGTGGCCATGGCGATGGCCACTGCTGCCACCAATACAAGGTATGGCGTGCGTTGCCGGAGGCAAGAAGAGTGGGCCATCCGTGTATTCCTCATTATGCTGTGCTGTGCTTGCTACCAGGCAGCGACCAGTCAATCCCCCCCTTGTGGTGGTGGGTCGGTGGTGGCTGCTTCCGCTTTTTTGGTGCCGATGCGGAAGGAAGACTTGCTCCTTCTGCGCGTTGTTTCGGGTGTATGTGGGTGTATGTGAGTGGAGAAGAACGCGGGAAGCAAGGGAATTGATGCGTTGGATCTTCTTGCTTGTCCGAGCTCGCGCGCGTGGCTGAGGAGGCCAAAGCTGAGTTGGTTGTTGGTTGTGAATGAGCGTGTGAGTGCTGTGTGCTGTGGTGTGTTGTAGGTGGCTGGTGGCTGGCTCTGCTCTGCTTGCCTTTAAGGTCAAGTCAGTCAGTTAGTTGATTGTGGTGGGTGATGTGTGAGACGACAGGTCGGTTGCCAATTTCCAATTGCGCTCGTCAGCTATCGATCAACCGCCTTCGTTTGTTTGGCCAGTGTTTGTCATGCAACAGAGAGGACTCAAGTGGGGGGAAGGTTTCGTTTGCCGACAAGTGAAGCAAGCAAACGTGTGCTTGGGAGTGAGGTTGCGCTCGAGCGAGAGGAGGGTGGTGGGCTGGTTGGTTCGCAGCCAAAGGAATGTGCTGCATTGCACTAAGCAACAAGGTCGGTGGTGGTGGTGCCAGGTTTGGCAGGACCCTTTCGTTTTGTCATCATGCGCGACTTTCGCTGCAGTTCGCAGTTCCGTTGTTTACGTCAGGCCAGAATAAATGCGAATGATTTCCACGAAAAAGGCAACTGTGTTGTTGGCGTGTATGCTTTTGTTGCTCTCATCTTGTTTGCTCTCGTCTTGTTTGCTCTCGTCTTGTTTGGTTGTACTGGAGCTTGATTGGTTGGTGGAAGATAGGGAGGGGATGAACTAACGAAAGACAACAAAGACTCAGACGCACACTCACACACATCAAACATCCACACTGTAACAACGAAGGAAGGAGGAGACTGGAAATGCCACGCAGAAGACGCCAAGCAGCCAACAAGAAAGGGCTGGTCGGGAGCCACTCCGTTCTTCAGTCCTGCCGTGTGTGTGTGTGTGTGTGTGTCCTCACTTCTTGCCCTTGAGGCCGGCACCCGCGTTGAACTTGAAGAAGATGATGTCGCCATCCTGCACGACATACTGCCTTCCCTGCTGGCGGTACTTGCCAGCGGCCTGCACGCATGGAAGAGGAGGAGAAGGAGGAGGAGGTTGGATGGTTGGATGGTTGGTTGGTGGTTTGAGTGTGTCGTTGCGGGTGAGTTGTTGTGGGTGAGTGAAGAAGCAGGAGGCGAAACGAACATGCGGGGAGAGGGAAGGGGAATAGGTATGTAACGTCTGGCAAACAGGCATCGGTTAAAGTCACAACTTCCCAGTTTCCACAACCACACACACCCACACACACACCCACACACACACACACACCCTCCAACACACGAACCTTGACGCCTGCCTCTGTTCCGTGCTCCTTAAAGTCGGCAAAGTTCATGACCTCAGCCATGATGAAACCCTTCTCAAAGTCTGTGTGGATCTTTCCTGCAGCCTGCGGCGCCTTGGTGCCCTTCTGGATCGTCCATGCACGCACCTCGTCCTGCGTGTGTGTGTGTGTGTGTGCGTGTGTGTGAGTGTGTGTGTGTGGTGGGGGT